CAACAACGGATCAAATGCTCTAGAAGGTAGTTGGCCTGCTCTCGCTTGACATAGAGAGCTCACCGAAATGATTGTTCCCACCTCCACTAGACCTCTTCACAACTGGGTTGTTCCAAGTCTTTCTAGAAATGGGGCTAGAGGAACTAGACGATGATTCAATTTTTCCACCTCCATCGGCAAAGTTGTAATTATGAGAAATCATCTTCTATGTGTTGTTTTTTAGTTTAGAAGGGAACTAGCAGAAAGGCCCGTGCTAAGCATGAGCAAAGAAGATAAAGAGAAAAATAAACAAGAATCATTGACATTACCTTATTCATATAGGTGAAAGTTCGGTGCTCAGCACAAAACAACAAAAAATATTGAAATAAGCTAAGAAAACAAATTTATAAGAGTATTCCATTTAAACCACATAGAAAAAACATAATAAAAGTGATTGCTATATCTTTGTCATAAATAGTATAGAAAGTAAAAGAGAGTATCATTGTTCTAGAAAAAAAAGAGTATCATTGGAATTGAAAGAAATAGTGGTCATTGTAGTGGAAATCATCATTAATTCCGCTTTTGAGAGCGACTACTCTCTCCAATAATTGCTTTTTTTTTTCCACCTGAAACATGAGAAATAATTAATGACAAATTGCATTTATGTTGCAATGATAATGTTTTCTAAAAGGGTGATTGAATGTTGAATGACTACCTTGTAATTTTTGTGTGTCTGTTTCAATTGCAAGAATTGGCTCCCTAATGGTAAGTGTAGTTGAAACTGATAGATAATAAAAAATATTAATAAATATTTGATTTGTAAAAGATCCATGAAGCAAAGTAAATTATAAGAGAATAGGAARAAAGAAAAGCTACTTAACTCTCTAATGTAGATAGGCATTCGAAGTGTAGAACTTGATGAAGCATTAAGACCTTTAAGCATAAAAAATAGGAAATAAGTATAAGCATGCACTTAAAAATATTTAAATGTTCCACCTTATTGTGTGTGTTTACTCGGAGGAGCTTGCATCTTGTTAATTTCTTACAGAAATTGTAAATTTTCTTTGGCCCAATCAACATCAGTTATAAAACTAATGACAGAAGAGTTTTGCCTTGGTGGTTCAACAATGAAACTGTAAGGTTTCCATAGGCATTCATGAGTTGATTGATTCAAGGCTTCAACTGGATTTTCTTGTGAAAAAATAATGTTAATAGAATAAATTACTTATCATAAGGAATTATCTTTAAGGAAAAACAAAAAAAAAGTTTCAATTACTTAACTTGAGAAAGCAATTCTTTAACATATGAAATGGGTTTTCCAAATATAAACTTAGCATGCTTGTCAAAGACAATAAACGGTCTCTTGCTGCTATAGTTTTGTAAATGAATGCATACCTTGTACTTGCAAATTGCTTGTAGTTTTGCGTGATATTATATCAAAAAATTAAGTAGGTTAATGCGATTGTAATTACCTTAGCAAAGTACTTGTAGGGGATATGTTGCAATGATGGTAATTATAAGCTTCATTAATTATGATAACTTTTCGCTTGTAAGTAAGGCACGATTCATATTAGAAGCCTTGTTCTATGTCAATGTGGGCAATATATGCGGATATCCGATATCTAATGCCATGATTCTAAACATAAAGTGTTTAGTTACAGATATAAACATGTATATAAWTGTAATGTGCAAAAATATGTTATTAGACTTTTTATGGTACTTCAAGAGGATAGATACTTGTGTCACTTGATTATAAGAGAGTTGAATTGAGACAAATTTATTGATTATGCAAAGGCAACTTGATGAGAAAATGTACCAATGTTTGAATAATATCTAAACATCCTTTGGGCATTATCATCAACTATAATTCTATAAAATAAATAGTCAAAGTTTTAATTGGAGAGTCACTAACAAAAAGATAAAAACTAACAATAAGTGGAATTCTTGTATGGTTATTGTGTCTTACCATTTTAAAAGATCCTTATCCTCAGTTATTTCTAGTCCAAATATAAGTTTTGTATATTTCGGTGTTGATATTGATAGACGTTATAAAATAAAAGTAGAATATAATTAGAACTATTGAATATGTTGTGGGTGTATTCAGAAGAATATTATAGATATTATAGATGCATTGTAGTTGTTTTATTTACCATGAAGTGATGCTACTTTTATAGACGAGGCAACAAGTTCAACCAAAGCCTCATCAATTTGTTGTAGTTGAGTTTCCTTAATCTATGCATAAAAATCCTAAAGTGTAACTATAACTAGCAACATGTTGTATTATATATTAAAAAATAATTAGCAAATTAGTGTTTATAATTATATATTAATGATTTTAAAGAGCTAGAGATGTACAATTTGTCAAATAGAAGAATGTATCTCTTCATAGAACTTGGGGAAATGGTTGTTAATGTACTTGCATGAATGGCTAATCCAATGACATCTTGTAATAAAAAATAAAAAACAAAAAACAAATTAATGTACAATAGATGCCTTTAAAGACAAATATAAATAAAACTTAAAGAGAGAACTTTAGAATCATATCGATGAAATATTTTTTACACATAGTTGTGTAGATTTTGAAAATGAATGAAATTATACTTGTAAAGAGGAATCTCAGGTGCAGATTTTGATATTTCCACTATAGATGACTTGCTTGTAAATTGTATATGGAAGTCACCCCTAATTACTGTATATTCAGTATTTGCTAGCTTTACATGCAAGTAAGTGATCGAATAAACATTGCCTTTAATAATTTTCTTTGAAAATTTCTTTAATTCTTTGGTGTATATTTTGATCTCTCATCACCCTACAAAAATGTGCATATGGACACTAAAATTAAAATAAAATTGAAAGGTGTAGTTAGTATGAAAAAATAATGCAATGTTCAAAATTCTATTCCTAAGACATTATAACACGTACATTGCAATCAACAAAGATCATCCTACAATTTTTTTTTGTTTTATTGTCTTTGGAATGTATGTATCCCAAGATTTCTAATAAGCCTACTTCTAAATTCCCAATAAGGTCTATGAGTGTATAGGTATCGCACAAGATTTGGCTTGAATGACATCCTATTAAACAAAAACAAAAAACAAGTGCGTTCATACATAAGAAAAAAATGAAATAAGAACAATAGTTAAAGGAAAAAGAAATTAATCGACCTTTATGTTACTATGATTTCATTGGAAGTAATTCATTTAAAGCCTCTTTTTAAACAACATTCTTGGTATAACCTTGCAACTACATCTCTTTGTTTATTGCTAAAATTTTGAGCCCTCACTTTAATAACACTCTAGATATTGCAACATACAGTTGCTTATGATTGAAGACTGGATTTTCTAATTAAATTCCAACATGTTTCAAGGTTTGCCCCTGACTTTTATTGATTGTCATTGCAAAGCAAGTTTAATCAGAAATTGTTTTCTCTTAAAATTAAATGGCATTACTGTGTTTTTTGGTGACAGTAATTCTTGAGATAAAAAACATGTTGGTCAATGTGGCTTCCTGTAATAGGTTTTTCTTCTATGATATTCATTTCCATAAGAAGAATAATTAATTGAGTCCCATTGCATAGACCTTCAGTTTGGTTCAAATTCCTCAACAACATTACTAGGGCTCCAATTTTCAACTATAACTCATGATTGGGCATTTCACCAAATTTTAAAGTGTTAAAAAACTCTGTAGGATACATGTTTGCCTTACAAGAATTTGAATTAAAGGCATCAATAGTATCAATACTATGGTATGTATGTATATCTCCTGATAACATCTTCAAAACCTTTATATTTATCTTATCAAGCTCATCATTTATATGAACTAGTATTGTCCTTTAACATATATAAGCACCATTTAAGGGGCCAAATTTGAAAATATAGCCTCTATCAATGATTGAATTCCTCTTCCTTTATCCTTTACTAAAATGTCATCATGGTATAGGTACCCAATTTTCATCATCATCTTCATTTAAGGAAATCCCTTTTATATTTTCATCTCAAATGTCAATAACCCATTTTATAAAACGGTAATATTCATGCATGTTTGAATCATGATTCCTAAGAAGTCTCATATCGGTCTGCAATCTAAAAACTTGGCAATAAGACTATAATTCAGATCATTGTATTGTTGTAGAAATAATGTTTGCACGGCCCCTTTTGGAATAACTAGTAAAATTTGACGAAAGTTTCCTCCAATAACTATTATTTTACCTTCAAATGGTTGATTGTCAAGATTTGCATCTATACTTTTTATTAAATTTCGCAAAGTTCGACCTAATGCCTCCAAAGCATATCAATGTGCCATTAGTGCTTCATCCCAAATTATCAAATTAGTTCTTTGAAACAATTCAGCTAGTTGAGACTTTTGGCTAATCACACATGTTGATGTTTCATTTAGGTCAATTGGAAGCTTAAACCTTAAGTGTGTTGTTTGTCCTCCTGATAATAATAAGATTGCAATTCCAGATGTTGCAACTGCAAGAACAATTTTTCAATCTGCTCTAAGCCTTGATATTATTGTGTTCCAAAGAAATGTCTTATCTGTACCTCCACTACCATATACAAAGTATAAGCCACTTGAATCAGAGTTGCATGTTTGCATAATTTTCTCATATATCAACATCTGTTTAGCATTTAATTGAAGATACAAAATATTAAATTGAGAGGTCATAGCATTAGGGTCATAATTTAACTCCTCCCAAATTAGTCGATTTGTAAATGCACCATAGGGTGTTGTAGGTGGAATTGGCATTCTAGGATAATCTTTAAGAGACTTGCCATTTCTATTCAAAATAAGCTTTATTTTAGATAAAACCCAACTTTGAAACTCTGTATCAGGAATATGAGCACTTGGATCATGTAATTCTCTCACAATTATTGGGTGCAAGTCATCAAATAAATGCTTTCAATGTTTAGCCCATAATTGGTTAGGGCTTGACACTTCATTAAAGAGTAATATTAAAATAAATAATTGGCGCAATTGACTTGTTGATGCCCAAGTAAAAGCTTCTTCCATGCATAATCTCATTCATTATCATCATCGAGAAGTCCAAAATCTATACATGCTGCTTTATTTGTATCATGTATGATCTCATCAATAGTACATAATTCAGTAAAACTTGTAGGACCATGAACAATACAAAGCAACATGTGATGGTAATAACGTTCTCCAAATGTTGGATGAGCATAATATAATCTCCTAATCGATTTCCCCCTCTTTCGCCTAATCCATATTTTCCTACTATCAATCCAAACCAATTGTGTAGGAAATTCAACATATGTTAAACTCCTCACTTTAGCATATATAGCATTTGTTTCAAACCATGCAGTCAGCATTGTTCTCTGCTCTGTAACTCTTGACACAATATTAGCAATGTTATCTCTATCATCAAACACAACTTGTTGGTTTTCTAAATGATATTGTAACCTTTCAACTAATGGATTTCTTTGTTGTAAAGGGAATTCATAAATTCTCCAACATGCTTCAAAAGATGAGATATACCTACAATCTAAATATTGTTGTATCTTATCAATAACTTCGGATTGAACATTATCTTGTTGGTTATAAATGACTATAGAAGCCTTATCGAAACCCTTGTGAATGTATTTGTAAAGGTATTTCACAATATAAAAGTAAGCAACAATCTCAACATTGATGTGTGCATTATATTTTCTCAATAACTCATTATATGGAACAACCCAGTGATTATCAACTTCATATCTGCCAATAACCTTTTTACCATCATTCATTCTTCTATAAATAGGATACCCATCTTCATTGACTTGTGTTTCATCAAAAAAATCTTTTAGGTAATGCTTAGAGCATTTGAAGACAGTTGTACATGGTGAATTTGAATTAACTCGACCACATGGCCCATGTATCATGAACTTAACAACAGTCTCATATAATAGAGGGTCTTCAACTTCATTAGGAATCTCAGCACACAATTTTGTCTACATCAGAGCTCATCATAGGTTTTGACTCTAGAGAAAGTGTAATTAAAATATGGGCATGAGGCAACCCCCTCTTCTAGAATTCTATGACATGAAGATCTATTACAAGAAAAAAAATATGAGTGGAGTTAAAATTGCTGAAAAGAGCAGGAAGGAAAAAAAATTGAGTCTGAATAAATTGGCATGTTACTGGACTAACCTGCTATAACTACCCCGAATAGTTGCTTCTTTTTAATATCATGCAACAACTACTTCAACTTGATTCGAAATACATGAACCACAATGTCTGGCGCATCATTTGGCTTTAACCATGGCATATTGGCAATTGCTGAAATGATCTCAGGCCAATTCGGATTTGCAGTGAAAGTTATAAATAAATCCGGAGAACCAAGTGCTCAACAAATGGCCATTGCATCTTGGTAATATTGAATCATGTAACGGGTCCCACCAGTAAAGGTTGAAGGTAGGATAAAATGTTGTCCTACCCTAGAAGCATCCATATCTCCTACATCAACCGCATCTTATAATTCTTGAAATAGCTTACTAACGTAATTGTTTTTGATTTTGCTGAAAATAGAGAAGTCAATCTTGTTCAATTGCAGCATATGCATCAACAAGATATTGTTGAAAGGCTCTACAACCTTGTAAAAGGGTCTTCCCTTCTAACTGACGAGTTTGTATTCTATATGAATAAAACTCTCGAATTAATATTTTTGTCCAGCATCGAAAGGATGAACTTCCCTCAACTTTCATATCAAGCCCCCATCCATTTTCACCATAAGGAAATAACAGAGGGTATTGTAGTGCCATATAACTTGGATGAGTCTCATCAATCCTTTTCAATCGGTGATCAATTGTTGAAACTATAACATCTCGATGGTTTGTATGTTCATGACCATCACTAACAATTAGAGCTGCAACTTCATCAGATGTTGGTTTGTCATATTGCCTCTTATTCGGCCCTTTTTTTTCTAAGATCTGAATTCTCAAGTCAAGTTGTGGTTCTGATTCATAAATATCACGAGCAACTCGAAATATCTTAACATATGGATTAAGTTCATTTAGCATCACTTGCAATCATTGCCAAATTGCAAGATTTATGCCACTATCAAGATGATCTCTATAAATAATATTCATTATGTTTTCAACCTCATGTTGAATATCATATATGTATAACTGTGCATATCTTGGCCTTTGTCCATCTTGAGGCAATAGTGATCCAATCCAATGATAGTTAGCACCACTAATTTTAAATCCATATGGTACTCTTCCATCCATTATACTATAATCTATCCTCCCACCCATTGAAGTAAAAGAAAACATTGAGTTATAGATACGAATTTGATCAAAAAATCATGAATGTGGAGTATCATATTTACCCTCTAACAATTCTTGCAACAAAATAGGTGTTTCTAAAAGAAATGGCAACTTTATTTTGCCATTTTAACAGCACATATAAAACTCTGGATGTGAAACAAATGTGGTCAATGAATGCTCCTAAGTCCGCATCTTAGCATAACATTTAGGACAAATTGTTGTAGGGCCACTAAAGGAGAAATATCCTATAAAAAATATACCCACCAATGCTTATAATCAATAAAAACATATCCTATAAAAAATATATCCGCCTTGTCCAAATCCAAACTAAGTTTAAACTTTGCCTCTCCGGTCTCCACCACCACAACCGACCAGGTTCAAATCCCAACCAAAAGCCATTAAATTTCAGGTATGGAAATGGGAATTCAGTACTAAAACTATTCCTTTTTCCTCTCTAGTGTAGAAAAGATAATCTAAAGGCAATCTAAATCAAAAAATTAAATGAAAGCCCAAATAAAAAATAAGAAAATAAACTAAAAACAAGAAAAACATTATGGCTTAAGATTTAAAGATGGAACACTTAAGATATGTTTGGTTTGAAGGGAAAGGTAGGGAAAAAAGTTTGTATAGGTTTCCCTACCCTTTCCATGAAACCAAAACATAGCCTTACCGTAACTTGTAGCTTGATTCTTAATCTGGTAGAGAATGTCGTCCAATGTAGGAACCAGTGGTGGCGACATGAACAATGGTGTTGATGTTGTTGTCCAAGGGGGAAGGGTAAAGGTAAATGCAGAGGAAGATAGGGTTTAGCAGGAGAAGTGTGAGAGATGGTCGTATAACCAGAAGAGAAAGGAAGAGAGTCCAAAACAATGAAATGAGAGAGTGAGAGGGTCGTGGAGTTGCAAAGAGTAAAAAAATGCAAGTAATTCGCATGGTACTCTCTCGTGCCATTTCTTGCTGTTTTTCATTTTACTTTATGCTATACTGACGTATTTTGTCGGTATAGATAACCTTCATCGATGGTTGCTCTTCCATCGATACAAGTTTACCTATACCAATAGAAACAACCATCAGTATATATCCTATAGCCTAAATTATGAAGGAAATAATATTAGTCGCTATTTACATATGTATACCGACGAAAATACGCCATCGGTAAAACATGCCATTGGTATATGGAAATTTTCTTGTAGTTCTTGTATAATTGCATCTTTCACTTCTGAAGTTGAGTCCAGTAGTGGAAGAGAAAAAACTTTTTTATTCAATAAGTAAGAGCTAAAAATCCACTGCCTCGACAACAAGTTCATTTACTAAACTTAATTTTTATTTATAAGCAAATTTTTCCATTTTAAGTGATTCTTCTTTCACCTCAGAGGGAACGAATAATTTTGATATTTTAGCCTAGTGGAGTGAACATGCAAAAAATTATCTAGATCTCGTCGCCATGGCACGTGATCTACTAACCCCTCTGGTGTCTATAGTTCCATCGGAGTCCTGTTTTAGTGCCGGTACTAGGGTGTTGGATGACAAGAGAAATTGTATGAATGATAAAAGTCTAGAGATGTGCATCTGTTTTAAAGAATTGCTAGATGCTCAAGATAGATTATAAGACAAAGGAGGGCATGACACTACACGTGTTGTTTCACCTGAAGCAGATGATCAAAGTAAAAAACAACAGGAGAAAATGATGAAGTCAATATTTTTTGTATACTCAATAGTTGCATAGCATTATTTTTTCAAATTGTTGTACATTTTTTTTAATTTTATTTAATTTATTTGATATTTTTTTAATAATTTAATTTTTATCTTCAATTTGTAACTATATTTTATTTTTATATTTTATTAATTTATTCCATTTTCCAATTTTCATATTTCATTCATCCAACCATTGTATGCTTTGTATCATTCAAATTTAAATGAAATAAAATTCTTATTTTTCTTCAAATTTGTCATTCACTTTGAGTTTTTGCCTCTTTGACTTCTTATTTGGTTAAGTATTTTTTTCATTTATTTATTAGATTTCTTATTTTTTTAAATAGTTCCCAAAGGAAAGTTAAGTATTTTAGTTTTACTTAGCAAAGAAATAAAAAAAATAAAAAATGTTAGAAAAAAACCAGTTTGGCCCACGCCTAAGGCCCAGCCTGTGGCCTAGTTCGACATGGCCCAAGACCACAACACGACTTGTAGCTTGCAGCATGGGCTTGGGCCATGGGCCATGCTGGGCCAACCCCCCAAATTATCCCTGGGGAGGGCGGCACGGCCCAGGGTTGTCCACGGTGTTTTACATCTCTACCTTCACCACTGTATCATTGACATAACACTTGATATCTTTGTGTATCATGTCATGAAATATGCAAGTCATCACCCTATGATATGTTGCCCTCGCATTTTCAGCCCAATACCTCATAATAGAAGTTCCTTGTAGGTTCAACCTTATCTTCTTTCTAATTTGGCTAATAAAAAGTGGTATGTTGAATTCATCTCCTAATATGTTTATTTTCTCCAAAGGCTCTCTACTATTGTGTTTGTATCCAAAAGGAACTTCGGTTGTGGTTGTGTATCACTTGTGTATTCTACCATCTCCTTTGTCTAGGCATTCTCCTAAGATTTTTCATAGGTTAGGCATGGTTTGTGTTGTGTTATCAATATTGACTTGATTTTAAGCCTTTTTTTGCCTCTTGTTGTGTGTTTAATGTTGTGATACTTATATCTCTATTCTGATTTTAGATATTCAGTGCCTGGATGTATTGGTGTTGAGTCTATTATGTTATGTCTTAATTAGGTGAATAACAATAATAATTCCTTACCATGATTGTGAATTGATATAGCATATAAAAGCATGGTATATATTTTGAATTTCATTCATTCATAATGTCAATCACACCTTTTATAAAAACGAACCATCATCAATGTCATTTTTGTGAAAGGAAAGAATTTTACTATGAAATAATTAATTGCACTTAGCTACTTACCTCTTCATCTCTGACTTTTTTGTTGATGCCTAGCAAATGAGTTTTCCTCCTCCTATACCAATGTATAGTAAGGGTTGCCGATTGAATCAACCATTTTCATGCACCATTGCCTCTTCTTCCATTTAACTAGTGTCTGAGCACTAGTTAATTTCCCCACTTTGCTTAAACTGCAAGGTTAGCACATTGGAGGACACACTCTATGATTGTTGTCATCACAATGTTCACACTACTTCTTCGAGTGTGATCTAGAAGGGAGTTACTTTCTACACTTGTTGGTTTTTTCTATGGGGGTGTTCTTTTTTCTGGATTTTGAGAGGGGGAAACTTGGTCAATGGGATTTTGATTCCCATTAACCAAGAATCCCATGTTCTTTTTTTAGATATATATGTGGGGACCAGGGAAAATTTATTTTCCTGGGTATCACTTACTCGGGTAAGTGATACCCATTTCCTAGGTGGGTAAATGACTTTCCCACCTGGGGGAAAAATTGCCAACACTTGAACAAGACAAAAATGTCCCTTTTAATAATGGATTTTTATGGATAAAATGGTCATTGCCTTATTTACACTAGAAATAAAAGAACATGGGTAAATGCATTTACCTGAGTAAGTCTTTCCTGGGAAACACTTACCCGGGTAAGTACATTTACCCAAATAAGTAACTTACCAAAAAGGGAATGGGGCYTAGAAGTAATTTATGAATTTCACTTTTCGCTTGAAAAATATACCCGAAGGTGAAACACTCCATAATATTGTGTGGTTAATTGGTGAAACTTGCACCATTGGTTTTTCTTTATATTGTGATCTAGATACGCATTGGGTGGGGGTGGTGGTTCGATCACACTGTCTTCATTATGAATAAGACATTTGCCTTTGTTGCATTCAAACGGTGGTGGTGACAATGGAAGTCGATCGTCTCTCCTTCCATGTACAGGTGTCCGAATGTAGGGTGGTCTCACCCCTCAGTTTTGTGACATTCTTTTGTCCATAGTGYAAGACTCCTACTTTTGAAATTGGGATTTTGCTTCGCTCATGCACTTCTGAAGTCTAGAGAAATCCTGGAGCCCTAACTTCTTGAGCACCACTCGGTATCTCGACAGCATGCCACTGATGCACTATTCTACAAAATCCTTCTCTACTATGCTCATCATTTACTAGTTGCATGGTTTTCTTGAACTTGACCACATATTCCACCAAACCTTTCCGTAAATCCTTGTTCGACATTTCTTAAGTCTTCCATGGTTAACCTCCTTTTCATCGTGAACTATTTTTAATGAATTTTTCAACCAGCTCCCAAGTGTAGTGCCAAGTTAATGAACTAGGTGTAGGATATCCTAGTCAGTGATTTGGAGAATTTTCACTTTCAAATCTCCATTTAGGGAAAATGGACCAAGAACATTTTCGAACTTGTTGATGTGTTCCCGTGGACTCTGTTTGAACGTCATACAGGGGCCATTATTAAGGGGGTGGTAATCCATGGGGTAAGGCTTTTGAGAGACCCATGATGAATGAAGCTTCCGATAGAGGGATAGCCATGGTTTGCAATGGTTGGGCTTTATCAGGGCTTTCACATACTCTTGTAGTTCCTCTTTGTTGAGGAACGTCGGTGCTTGGTTGCCCTACTCGACTCAATCAAACGAGGTGGTCACCTATGTTGCAATGGGGATCATTGCTGGTGCCGTCGGTGTTTGTTGTTGCTAGAGAAGCTGCTTGATAATCTATTTCCTTCATGTAGGGTCTACTTTGAAAAGCCAAGCCAAAAGCCGTTGCGATTCAACCCTCCTAATCAGGGCAAGACTAAATGCTTATTTGGACTCTTCGACTCTTTGTTCTTCAGGTTTTTCACCAAACATAACTTAGAGGCCGTCTGTATAGAGCCACCACGGAAAGCCAAAAGCCACTTAGAAACCACTTTCACCTTTTGTAGATAGGAAAACCATTTAAGTTGTTATTACTTTAGGGAAAATTCCTGATTAGTACCCTATACTTTGGGCCTAGTGTCATTTTGGTATCCAAACTTTGGAATGCGACAATTCAGTACCCAAACTTTCAAAACATACCAATTTATTATCTATCGTTAACCAACCGTTAAATGATACTTGAAAAGACACAAATGCCCTTCGAGTGTCATCTAATTTTTTTTATCAATCATTCAAACATTGACAAAAAATGAGTAGTCCTAAATCCTTGCCTCTTCTATTCAAGAAAATTGAGGTCACCATATGCCCATTGAGATATGACCCCAACTTTTTTGAATAGAAGAGAAAAGGATTTGAGATTGTTCATTTTTTCTCACTGTTTTGATGGTTAATAAAGAAAATTAAATGACACTCAAAGGGCATTTGTATCTTTTCAAATGCCACTTAATGGTTGGTACTGGATTGGACATTTTAAAAGTATGGGTACTGAATTATAACATTTTAAAGTACGGGGACCAAAATGGCACTAAGACAAATTACAGAGCAATAGTCGAGAATAATCTCATTACTTTATTAGACAACCTTTAGGGAGGAAAATAGAATGTGTTCCCAATACACTTGTTCATGGGTCGGGTAGCCCGACAGCCCAGCTCGTTATGTTTCGGGCTTGGACAAAACTTCAGGCCTGAGCTTAAATACTAGGCCCGATCATTTTTCAGGTCAGGCTCGGGCCCAAACCCGACCTAATACTATTACATATAATAAAAAGCGTTTATGTTATATATAATCTTTGTTTCTTAAATTATTAATAAATATTAATTTATTATTAGAAAATACAAATTAATTTATTAAATTAATATAATATTAATTTATAAAAATACATTAAAAATAAGAGTCGGGCTTTATATAAGAGTCGGGCTCAGGCTTGGCCCAAGAACAGGTTTACTTCCTAACTCGTATAAACTCGTCGTTACTTTTTATAAACTCGTTGTGTTTTGGTCCTTTGGGTTCTGGATGGAGTTGGTGACTATATAAAATTGTCGAGAGCCCCTCCATTTCCTCCTCTCTTTCCGTTCTTTATAAGAGGCTCATCGCTTTGCCAAACTCCCTCTCTCTCTCTCTGGTCTCAGAGAGGCTCTCTCCTCGTTATCATGAAATCTGAACAAGAAAAAGCCGCCTAAAAAAGTTCAAAGAGAAAGGAAAAGGAGTCTGTAAAACCAAAAACCATGTCTCAGGCCGTATTTCAAACCGCACAAATTATGCCTCTCGGTTATCAGATTCCCAACAAAACCTTCTCACCATCGACATCTTCTTATCCTCACCCTTCTCTCTTTGTTCCTCGCCGAATCCAATCTCCCTCTATCTCTGTCGGAAAGCCCCGGAAGCTTGTTTTGGATATCAAAGCCTCGTCTTCGTTGGTTGACTCCGACCCAATTGCACATCTTGAGCGCTGCTTCAGTGTCTCGCCTGATTCCGGTGTGGGTTCGGCTTCTTCGTCGTCTTCTCGTATGACCGCTCCTGTTATGAAAGGTCAGTATGGTGCTTTCGGAGCTGTGACGCTTGAGAAGTCGAAGCTCGATATGTCCTCGAAGCAAACCAAGTCCAGTCCTGAGGTCAGTCTTGTTCAGTTTTCATTTTCTTTTGATGGGTGCTCTAATTTGGGTGTTTTAGGTCTTGTTTGCGAGATGGAAGTGGTGGAGTTAAGATATGTTTTATTCTTGATTGCTGGGGTGCTAATTAAGCTGTTTGAATTCATTTAGAAAGTCTAATTTTCTGAATAGAATTTTGCGTTCCCAATTTTACTTTTGAATACGGAACAAGGTAGGCCTCAAGAAATTGACATAGGGGGAATTTTTATTTTTATTATTTTTAGTTTCATCGTTCAATTCTGTTACTGATTGGTGTTAGGGGCATGGCTTGAGGCATCAAGAGTGCACTTCATATGTGCCTCACAATTTGATATATGAGCTTCAGTCTTTAAGGAGTTTGAGCCTTCAAGGCTGACCTCAAAGCTTAAGCCTCATACAACTTTAAAACCACTGTTGTCAATTATCATCCATAAAATTAACTGCTTTACCTACTAAACCTCCTTTTTACAATCAATTTGTTCAATCAATTACCAAGGAAGGAATGGTAGGCTACTACAATATGTTCAAAGATATTGTATTTTCTCCTACTTGAGAAATATCCTTGTAGTCCTTCCAAGTTGAGAGGGTCTATCTTTTTTCTTGACTGGAAGAAGGAAATCAATGTGCCAAGAACTGGCTCTTCCATTATCGATGAATATAAAAAAACAAAAAAACAAAAAGAAAAAAGAAAAAAGGAAAAAAAAGAACTGGCTTTTCCATAGTGTAGAGCTTTGCAATTGTATGAGACCTCTAGGTATGTTTTAAAGAGATCATCCGCAAATAGAGAAAAGCTTGGGATGCTTTGACATTTAGAATCTAAGGCTATATACGAGATTAGCATTTCTACATATCATAAGTTGGATTACTATAAAATTTCTCTTAAGTTGTAAATGAAACTTTATGTGTTTTTCTGTTAACTTTTATATTCATTGAATTCATGAAGCATGGGACTTGTTATTTTGGTAAAATATTGTTAAGGGAAGGGCTTATTTTACATCCACTTGATTTTACTTTTTTCCTCATTAAGACATTGTATGTGATCCTTGGTTGCTAATGAATCCTTGAATTCGCCAAGATTCATCTCTATTTAATTCATGCTTTTAGCAATAGAGAAAGTAACCAACTATTTTCTGTTATTGTAATCTTAATAAAGACGCTGTTGCATCATCAACACTTCAGAAGGCTTTCTATTTGAATTAAATGCTTAATTTGAAGGTACTTAAACATAACCACTTGGTTCTAGAATACCTTCATGTGTCGTAACTTTAATTTCCTCCTTGAATTGGTCGTCTTTGATTTGATATGAAAATATCAGAATATTTTCCTTTTCCTATCTTTATGGGGTTGTGTGGGGCCTGGTATTTAGATATCTTGTGGTTTTGTATATTATAATGATTGTCTTTTATTTTTGAATTCCCCTATTTTGTAAATGCAACAAAACAATGGAGGGTGGGCCTTGGTGCAATAGTTGGGTTGCTCCATTGTGACCTGGGCGACCAGGGTTCAAATCTTGGAAACAACCTTTCTGTATGTGCAGGGGTAAGGTTGTGTTTATCTGTCCCTCTCCAGACCCTGCATTGGCGGGAACCTCGTGCACTGGGCTGCCCTTTTTTAACAAAGCAATGTTAATTTTCTGAAGCTTTTCTGAAATAATTAATACCTAAAGTTCTTATCCCAGAACAATTTGTTTTCCAAATTGGTTGAGTTATTAAAAGACATTTCTTGGTAACTGAAATGGACTTTGAGCTAGGTACATGTTATTTCAATTGTTTCTTTGTAAGTTATTTTTTATGAGTAATTGAAAATTTTTGCACTACTTGTAAGCTATTTTGAAATTTGAAAACATAGAAGCTAACTTAAATTTTTGTAATACTTAGACTGCAATTGGGGGAGGGGGTGGGGACATTGGAAAGAAAATTAATCATGGTGGTGGCGATGGAGGTGACGACGGTGGTGATGATGATGACTATCTTGGTGACTTTGATGATGGAGATGAAGGAGATGAAGGTGGATTGTTTAGGATGCGGCTTGTTTTTGAAGAGGTTACCAGTACTTATTCTCTCTGTTTTTTGTTCATAAGAAGATATTCACTTCATTCCAGAAAAGTGTATTCATGAAGGTTGATTGGTTTAATGTTTTGTGAACTCATTGCAGCTTTTTGATCGAAAATTTGTAGATGCAGTCTTGCGTGAGTGGCATAAAACAATGATGGATTTGCCTGCTGGGCTCCGTCAAGCTTATGAAATGGTGAGTACTTTATTTTTCTGTGATTTACTTTAAAGGAATAATGAAAACTAAAGAAGAGACTGATTCTGTGCTTCAGGGCTTGGTGAGCTCTGCTCAAATGATGAGATTCCTCACAGTCACTGCAAGGCCAACCACTGCGAGGTTTATTTCTCGAGTTCTTCCAGAAGGGGTTTCTAGGGCATTCATTGGGAGGTAAATGAATATAAAGCTTTCATTATTCATGTAAATGAATAGAAAGGTCTAAACAGCTATGTCATAATAATAAAGTAAATTATTACTTAATAGAATGAAAACACATTCACCTGAATCATTGTAACACCACTGTTGTCTAATAATCTTTTCATTAGTTACAACATCATGCTGAGCTGGATAGAAGAGTATGGATACCTAGTTAAAAAGCTAAGAACAATTTATAATGGTTTTATATGTGCTTACTTTTTTTACTACTCTAAATTTTATTATAAAAGTGTAATACTATCATTTTACAATTCCTCTACACACACAAAAAAATTGGAAAAGAAATAAAAATTTTATCCAATATTCCCAAGTCTGATGCTGATTACAATGTAAGATTAGGTCTAGTGGTCATCATTTCCTTGAGTTGATTATAGAGATAAGGCTGGCATACTATTGCTTTTAAGTAGATATCATCTCTCTGAGTTGATAAGGTTTTATCATTTTGTAGGCTATTGCTCTCTAGTAGATATTGCACTCAATGCATGCATTAGAACTAACTGCTCTAAGGGTTTAAAGAGATCAGAAAGCATGCCTTTTTCATGGGTGTGATGAGCTTAACAGTGTTATCCCCAATTGTCTAACCATTGTATGGTGAGACTTTTTTTTTTTTTGATGAATTATGGTGAGACAATTTTTAGAACACTGCTGTTTGTAATAGGGGTTTCCACCCATCATATAATCAATACAGTTTTTTTTTTTTAATCAATACATCTGTTTTTTTTTTTTTGGATCAGGAATGATCTTAAAGTTCTTTTTTGGGAAGATCTTTGGATTGGGATTCAACACTTAAAGATAGATCTTACTGTTTCTTTGCCCTCTCCAATTATAAGTCAGAGTCTATTTCCAAATTCCTTGTTCACTGTTCAGACGGTTTTGCTTGGGACCTTGGGCTTAGGTGGGGTTTGAGAGAGGGTGAGTTTGCCTCTTTATTGGGTCTGCTAGCTGTTTTAGAAGTGTATTACCTTAATTCGTCTTGTTTAGATAGTAACGTGTGGGTTCTTTCCTCTTCAGGGATTTTTCATGTTTTTCTTTTTCAATGTCCTAGTCCTCTCTTCCTCTTCAGCAGCTTCCTTTTCTGTTAAAGAAGTGGGGTGCAGTCTAGYGCTGCCAAAAATTCAAACTCTTTTGGGAGGTAGTGCTGGGTAAGATAAACACTTGTCATATGGTTCAAAAGAGATGACCCAATTGCTGCCTTTCTAGACATATCTGTATCTTGTGTTTTGCTAGTGGTGAAATTGCTTCCCATTTACTAACCTCCTGCTTATTTATGTCTCGCATTTGGGAATCTTTTTGTTCTTTCTTTGGTTGCAGATGGGTGCTACTTATGGAAGCTGTCAATTTGTTCAACTCAGGTTTCCTACCTATGCCTAAAAGAAGAGGAAAGGTAATGTGGAAAGCAACGAGAGTGGCTATCCTTTGGTCAGTTTGGGAGGAAAGGAACAATAGATTGTTTAAATGGCAATGCAAATCTATGGACCTTCTAATTGAAGGTATTAAACTGAAGGTAATTCATTGGATTAAGACAATGAAGATTTTTCAATGACTATTCAGAGAGTTGAAGATTTTTCAATGACTATTCAGAGAGATTTTTCAATGAAGATTAATTCATTGGGAGGAAAGGAACAGTAGCAATGGCAGCTTCTTCTACATTACAGAGAGTTGTGCAAGAGGAGTGGGTTCCTACTAGCAACAACAGAATCAAAATGAACTTCAATGGATATGGAAGCTGTTGTGGGAATCCAGGCCCCTAGGGTATAGGGTGAGATTTTATAGATGGCAGGGGAGTGATACTGTCTCCTTGTTTCAGTCCATTAGGAGTGGCAGATTCACTGACAATGGAGGTTTCAGCCCCCCAAGGACTAAAGTTGGCAAGACAGCTGAATCTGAAACATTTAGAGATTGAAGGTGATTCCATATTGGCAGTGGGTTGGATGGTGAACAATAGTAAGGGTATGTGAGCATTCAGACATGTAAAAAGGGAAAGCAGGAGGCTGATAAAAAAAAGAAAATCAGGAGGCTAGAAAGGGAGGATAAGACCACTTTTAAGTGGGTTAACAGGTCAGCAAATGCACTGGCAGATTCCTTGGCAATGCAAGGGGTGACTAGGGTGCAACTATTCTGGGATAACGTGTACTGATAAGATTCTCAAAAAAAAAAAAAGAATCTAAAACAGTCAAGACAGAACTTTTCAATAATTGTTTTGTGGTGGATATTGCTGGATGACTTAGTGGCTTTGTTTAATTTTGTTGTACAAGGGATCTCCCTTCCTTGTTACTGAAAGGTTGCCTTATCTATTAGCAGAAGAGAAAAAAAAAAGGAAAAATGAAAGAAAGAGAACAAAAAGGAAAATTGGTTTGCTAACGGTGGCATTTTAGTGTTGGCCCCTCTTTCAGGATAAATTTTAAAGATTGGGAAATGAATATGTTACAACCTTCTTTTGATAGTGCAGGGGGGGGGGGTTGGGTGGGTGTGTGGGACTAGTGCCTGACAAGAGAGATTGAGAGAACATGTCAAGGAAAGGCATAGCTCTAGACAACATGCTGTGCCCTCTCTGTGAGCAGCATCATCAAAGCTCCAATAATCTATTCTGCACTGCAGCTTCTCAAGTAAGGTTTAGATGTTCCCAATGTACTGATGTAGTGTCATGTGGGTAGGTGTGAGTAGGAGATCTGAATTGCATTATTGGTTCAATCGGTTTGATTCTGTCAGGTAGACCTGACCCACTGTCAACTCTATATTAAAGACCAAGAAAAAGACAACAGCATACTTCTCTTTCATAAAATGCATTGCAAGAGTAAGTGGTTTTGATGTATGCAAGGAGAATATGAAGACTACAGAAGAGGATGATCCTAATTGGTGCTACCAAGCCTTTCAATTTTTGAACCTACATGGGGGAGAATATAACCACTTTTAAACCATAATGAGCCCATTTCAATTTACATTTTGATAGAACAACTTGTCCTTATTTAAGTTAGTGATCTGGTAAATCTTCTTTCTTTTGGATGGTGATTTTGAATCTCAATTTGTATCTTTAGCAGTTAATATCAAACATAGGTTGGTTGTTTTTGTTTGACAACTAAATTTAATACCTTGTTAGAGAGGCTAGAAACTACTGCTTTGGCATCTAGATTGAACACCTTACTCAGATGTGCATGGAGGTTGACAAACTCTCTAGAAGGCTGTCTGTCTAGATGAGGGATTGTTATAACGAACTTATATTTTGGAGCATCTCTACGAGATTAATTACAGCAATCTAGTCTTTGATGCTATATTTGTGATGCATTTTATTGTTTTCAATTACTTGTGTAAGTGTTGAAAGCCTACTTCCATCTCTTGGAAACTAAATATTTTTTAAACTTTTTTGAGCTTTAATATTAATTAGTAAATGTCTTGATCAAAAAAATATTAACTACTAAATGATTCTGTACTTGGTATGGGGCAGTAATATGTACATATTTTGTTTCTGATCCAATATCCACATGCTAAGTGTTAAGTATTTAAGCTGGATTTTTATTAGACTTCGGAGACTAATTAGAATTGATTTGTCATTCAACAATACACCTATCTAGAAAAATGTGAGCTTTTACCAACATAAAATGATACAATTACATCAATGATCAGTGTTTAATACATGTTTTTTCCACATCATATTAGAGGTTCACCTCTAAAATTTCATACTGCGAAATTAGTGTGATATGATATTTATAAGTTGGTTACGCAAAAAATGTAATACTATACAAAGGTAAGAATGTAAGTGTAACAATTACCCACATGAATTTTCTGCTGGCATTGTAATTCTCATGACAAAATGTAGCAAAAAAAAAAATGCTCTTAGGCTTCAATACATTTCATTTGTCTTTGGTTCATAAACCACTGTTCTTATTGTCTATAATCTTTTAAATGTTAACTATATCAATATTATAAGTTTAAATTATTCCCTTGGTTACCATTTCTTAATTTGTCATGCAGGATGATTGCAGATCCAGCTTTTTTGTATAAGCTTCTTTTAGAGCAGTCTACTACAATTGGTTGTTCTGTTTGGTGGGAGTTGAAGAATCGAAAAGAAAGGTATTCTTCTTTTCTCCACTTGAAGAATAGGAAAGGTTGCATCTTATGTGACACTCATCTAATATATGCTTGCATGCATTATTCTGATTATAGGATAAAGCAGGAATGGGATCTGGCACTTCTTAATGTGCTTACAGTATCAGCATGCAATGCTATTGTTGTTTGGTCACTTGCTCCTTGCCGTTCGTATGGGAATACTTTCCGGTTTGACTTGCAAAATACACTACAGAAGCTTCCAAACAATATTTTTGAGAAGAGCTATCCCCTTAGAGAATTTGACTTGCAAAAAAGAATTCATTCTTTCTTCTACAAGGCTGCAGAATTGTGTATGGTTGGTTTAACTGCTGGAGCAGCCCAAGGTGCTTTGTCAAAACTTTCTGCCAGCAAGAAGGAGGAAAGGTAAACCATTTAGTTAGATATGCTTCCTCAATGTTAATTTTGTTCTATATATTCAAGTGAATCAATCTTCTAGAGCTATTTTTATCTAAGTTACTATTTGCTTGATTGCTTCATCTCATAGGTTATCTGTGACAATTCCAACTGTAAGTACCAATGCTCTTGGATATGGGGCTTTCTTGGGACTTTATGCAAACTTGCGTTATCAGTTGTTATGTGGAATTGACAGAGCATTGTTCAACTATTTTGACGTTATTGGAGTGGCAGTCTTCTTTAGCACAGCATTGAGGTGTGATTCTGCTAAAATTATATCCTTATAAACATTGTCTTAGTAGCTGTTCAGTCAGTTTCCATATGATTGTTCTTTTATGTTCTCTTTTACTTGCCTTGCCAAACATTATTGTCACATTTAAGCCCCGTTCGTTTACTGGTAAATAAGAGGGGGAAAGTTGGTCAATGGGTATCTCTTTCCCATTGACCAACTTTGAAGTGTTTTCCTTTTTTGCATCAAGTACTGGGCCTCACGGTAAAGAGAGCTTCATTTACCTGGGTAAAACTTACCCATCTCTCAGGTGGGTAAGTGACTTTCCCACAGTTAGAATCGGAATAGTCCATTCTGATTCCGATTCCAGGCCCCCATTCCCGCAAACCAAATGGGGCCTTATTTTTCCATCGAACACTTCCCAACAAAAAGCACTAATCTTGGGGCAACAGGTTTACACCAAGTTGTCTTTGGATGGAAAGACTGGTTAGAGGGAAAAGATGAAAAGGAAGATGAAAAGGATGCACAAGTAAAGGATCCACAAGGATTGGGAGACCAAGTATGCCTATCAGACCTTGAAGGGTCCAATCAGACTTTTTCCATAATTTGCAAGAGACTAGCAACCGAAGAAAGTTCATGCTATCTCAGACCCCTTTTGAAATCCAAATCCCAAGAAATAGCAAGGGAGATGGAAGAAACAAACTTCACAGCTAGTTCCTTTTTGAACAAAGTGATAAGAGTACAAATTAGGAAAGAGGTCTTTAAACGCTACATTCCCAGCCCAAACATCTTACCAGAACAAAACTTTATTCCTAGAACCAACACCATACCTGACAAAGCTAAAGAACGGCAGTAAAATACTAGTGATGGCTTTCCATGGAGAGGTCAAGTTTCCTAATGAGACACCCAACATTGCAAGCATTGCCCGATTTACTTTACCATGAATACTCTCCACTACTTTGTACCACAACCTCACACTCTCATTAGGCTGCCTCCACAACCATTTACCCAGAAGAGCTAGATTCTTTTTTCCCACATAACAACCAAGGGACCCAACCTGGATACTTCATAAAATAACAATTAAGGGTCCATAATTGTCTTGGCTAAAGCCTGCATATGGGCCAAAACCATATATGTAACTCTCCACCCAACCTGGATATTTCATAAAATAACAATTACAGATAGACAGTTGTTGTGAGCTCTAGTGTTGATCTCCATAATGGATAGCCCGATATTCCATTTTTCTGGTTAATGAGTTCATCTGCCACATGTATAATACTTTGGCACTGTTCCAGTACGTAAAGCAGTCTCCTTACAATGCAGCCTATATAAAATTGTTCTTCAAATCATCAATCACACACACACACACACACACACACATATATATATAGAATGAGAGAAGTCAGGAGAAATATGTTAAGTTTATCTTTCATGTTCTTGTAAGAAAATATTCTTCATGAATGTATATTTTTCTGTATTAAATTCAGGCTTCTGAATGTTCAAGTTGGAGAGACATCTAGACTGGCTTGGCTTGGAATAGAGGCAGATCCACTGGTTCAATCGGATAACCTGTTGAAGGCATACAACAGGCCATCTGAGGCTGTTGCCAAGACTTCATCAAACTGGTTCATTTCAAAGAATGCTGTTGTTTCTGGGCTAGGGCTTCTTGGCATAAGGCAGGGGAACAGTGACCCTGCAGCTGAACGGGAGGCTGCTCCTCCGGCCAAAGCACGAAGGAAGAGAGTTGTCAGAAAAAAGATGAGTACGAATTCGGCATAGAAAGTAATCGTCTTCTCAGTATCACGGACCAATTTTGTAGCCCAATTAAAATCCAGTGAACAGAAATTGCTGCAAACCATGGAAGTAAAAGCAACAGAGCAGTCATGTAGATGGTGATTTTTTTTGCTGCCGTTGCAGAAGCTATTTGAATGGCGCATATTTGATAACTGTGAGAGGCCCATAGGGAGAGATTTATTGAACACGTTTTCATGTTTTCAGGTTAATCATTAGTCTAATGAAAATTATAGTTTTCTAAGTTCAAAATATTCATTTAGAAATCTGTAATAGATTAGAAGTTTGTGCTTCAATGGGGACATAATTTCTTATTGGCACATGACTCCCGAACCCAATGTTTACTTTACATCATGGTGAACTTAATTCGGACGCAGTGTTCCTTTCTGAATCCATCTGCCCAATTTGAGGCATATATTGAATAAACTGCAGTAGTCCCTTTCACCTTTAGCCCTAAATTACTTGTTCTTTGTATATTTTATTATCTTTGTGTACAGATTTTTGTTTAATGGGGTGTGATGGATACAACAGATTAACACAGCTTTTCTACTTCATAAACTGAGGGTCCATTTGGTTTCTGGAATAGATGCTTGGAATCAAGGTTCAAAGTATCGGAAGCATAAGATGTACTGGAAAAATAATTTTAAGAGATGTATTGCGATACTATGAATAAGTATGGATACAGACGAAAAATCAAGATACGGATAAATATAATAGAAAATTCAAATAAATCCTAAAGAATATATTACTAACAATATTTACAAATTTTATAAATAAGTAATTTAAATGTAAAAAAACTATAATTTAATAGTTTATATAAAGTGTAACACATTGGGATACAATTAATAACCAATGAAAAATGGAATAACTAAAATGTAAAAAAAAAAAAAAMAAAACTAAAATGTGAATGTCAATTTTCAAAAATCAATATAATTAATCTTAATATTTATTAGTATATAAATTTTAATAATTAATTCTAGCATTTATTAATAAACACTTGTCACTCGTTAAGAAAAGTGAAAATGTACTTAAAATTAAAAATACATATGATCATAGCAAACAAATATGTGTGGCTCATTGGCAAACTTGTGGTTGTTAAAATCAAGTGACCAAAGTCCAAATCTTGTTATAATTAAAATTTGTAAGCTTTTACACTAACAAAACGAAATTAATGAGAGGGGATCATTAATTAAAAGAATTAATGAGGAAATTTGAATTAGGCGCTAAAATTCAAATTTAAATTTAAATTTGTTTTGGAGTAATTGGCTAATTAATGAAAGAGAAATTAGACTTAAATTTAGGAGTAACAACATTAATGAGAGATTTAACATTAAATACTGATCAACGAAATTAATGATGAACCAAAACTATCAAATGTATCTATATTTAGTATTAAATACTGATTAACGAAATTAATGATGAACCAAAACTATCAAATGTATCTATATCGGACTGTTTTGGGCCCATATCAGCGGATGCAGACCCAAAACAGCCTGATACTGGCCTGTATTGGCCGATATGTATGAAAAGAAACGGAATAAAGGATTTATACGTGTTCCGTGTATCAGATTCTTGTTGGAACGATACATATCGGCCGGTATGGCCCGATACATTGCGATATTTTAAACCTTGCTTGGAATTGAAAGCTGGCTTTTATTTTTGTAGGAATGGGATTTCAATTCCCCCTTCTTGGGGGAATGGGATTCCCATTCCAAAGGCTATCAGAAAGTAAAGAACTCATGGTAAAAACCCTTAAACCTTAATGTTAATAAAATATTATTAAATTAATAATAAGATAATAATAATAATAAATATTAATATCTTAATAATAAAATAATAAAGTATAATTGAATTGTTAACAAAAATATTAGTAAAATAGTAATAAAATAATAATATATGAAAATATTAATACAATATAATTAAAGTAATAATAAAATAATAACAATTTTTTTGAGAAAAAATAATAATACAATATTAATAAGCAATTCATTAAATAATAATAATAATATATAATAAAACTTTAATAAAAGAATAATACTATAATAGAATATCAATAAACTAACAATAAGAAGCAAATTATATATTATTTATTAAATAATAATTAAGCACAAATAAAATATTAATATAATATAACTAAAGTAATAATATAATAACAATATATTAATAAAATATTCATAAATTAATTAGATATTTTTACTCAAAAAATAATAATAATAAAATAATAAAGACCAATACAAAATTGAAAATTTTCAATTGATTGTGATTCCAACTACAAATAAACCAAACAATAATTGGAATCTAATTCCAATTCCTGACTGTACTGAACAGGCATTAGAAATAAGTGATTCCAATTTAGACGCTGTCCGCAAACCAAATGGACCCTTGGATGAGTTTGAGGCTGAAAATTAGTGGCTGGGGATGCTAGTATAACAATAAGATAATCATTTTCTTAAATTAATTTGATGGTAGATGTGGATTTTCAATTGGATGCTCTTAGCAAGCATCTAGGTGTATCAGCCATTGAATGTTCATAACTCTGCAGCAAAAATCAGAAATTTACATTAGGCTTGTCCATACTTTTCCGTTTATTTTACTGCTAAATAATTGATATGTGCTAATTGATGGCAGATTTTTTCCTTGACATCTCTCTCCCTAACTTAAAACGGATTTATCAGGCGTCTATGATTCACGAGGATGTTTATGTTACATGCTTTAGCTTTAAGAATTGGGAATTGAGAAATCAATCAAAGAAACTGGAAATGAAAAATGTTTGAGAGATTAACAAGATTTATTAATGAATAAAGTATCCGCAGGATTCATCTACTTCTCAGACATCTGTTTTGGTGGAGGCAGTCATCCGTGGTCTCATTTGCGCATATGAATGAAGGCCCAGAGCGAGAGGGTGTTTGGCATTTCCGTGGTTATCTGCCGCTGCAATAATTAGTCACATCAGTGTTTTTCCTTTGCTTTATACCCAATGAAGTAGAAACCACCAACGCAACGGTATCCGTCGGGTTGTGGCAAATTGAGAAACGAAAAAACAAAATCACTAATTGAGCATTGAGCATGCACTTACTTGAATAAAACAACTAATTGGGGTTGTGTTTGGCATCATTGCTATTTTTACTTGAAATATATGTACGTTTTAGGTTGGTCAATACAAATTGATGAAAAATATTTATGGTCACATCACAATGAGAATCACTTCAACTAGAAGAGATGAAATGTGGGACYGAGCATTGATGATTTAAGTAGAAACAATAATTTGTATTGGTCAACCTAAGACGTTTAGGGTAGAAAAACAATCTCACAAATTTGTATTAAACCCAAAAATGTTTCAGGCAAAAACAATAATTTATATTGGTCAACCTATAAGTACCATAGACTCCATGTTCCTCAATCACCATGGTTTGGTCAAGCCTATGAAGGTCCAAGAGGATGGCGGTGAAGAAAGAACAAGTAAAAGAAGAAGAAGAAGAGAGAGAGGGAGAGAGAGAGACCAAAGAAACCCTAGGGTTTGGTAGTGTGTTCCGTGGGGGAGAATTGTTTCCCTTTTTATAGAGAGGGCCCTAAGGTTGTAAGGAGAATGATCTAAAAGGAAACTTTTCTTATTAAGAAAGGAAATCTTTATCTTATGTTGACTATTAAGGGAGCACCATTGGGATTATGCCACATGTCTAGTGATATCCTTCAAAGACAAAGTTTTCTTTCTCTTAAGGATTCTTGTGTAGTATGTATAGGCTATGTCTCCTTACGGATTTCCTTGTGGTCACGTGTTAAGGACAAGATCTAAATCTAACTGGTGTGCTCGGGTGTTCGCTCAATCGCCTTCGAGATACCTCATCATGGCTCGCTATGACCAGATGGAATGCTGATTTCCCATAGGCAGGTGTCGCTAGCCTTGGGGTCTATCCACCATTCATTACAACATGAATTGTCATTTCGTGTTCATCGCAAGGTACTAGTAGTGTATTGGGTTTGTCTTAGAATAGCGATGTCATTTTATGTCAATCACAAGTCTTAGGTGACGCTCATTGCTCATCGCAGGTCTTGGATGACCCTTTGTGCTCATCGTAGATGTATGAGCCTTCGATCATTTTGATAATGTTTTTATACTGTTGTAGGGGTATCCCAAATGGGATTCCTTCATATGGTTTTTCCTGTAACGTCATCATTGTAATCCCGGTAATATTAAACTACATGTACTTATAATTGGTTTTTACCATCTCTAATAGCTTGAATGGTTCCTTCTTTCACAAACTCAGAGCCATCAACATTGGGGAAGCCTTGAACAAGGTTTATAGTTCCACGTTTGATAGCAAGCATGCTCATTTGTGTGAAGATTGTGGTCTTCAACTTTTCCAGGCATTTTGCAACCTAAAAAAGAAGAACGAAAGAAAGCTAGAAGAACTAATGTTTTTGCCCCTTTGAACTATGGAAATTGAAGCATAAAGGAAGCTCATTAACATTTTTTTAACCATATGTCCTGTAGTAGGAAGTACCAAAAGTGATTAAATGACACTTGCATACCATGTAGCCTAAACCAATTATTTCCTTATTCTCTACCTTATTCCTTTCCTGATATCTTCCTTTTCGGTAACCAATATATTGCTACCTTTATAAACAACTTGGAAATAATGTAAATTAATTAAAAATGTTGATGTGTGTGCATGCTACACATTGTTTTTATTGTCTCATACACGGTTTTTATGATAAATCTTAATGGTTCTTGCCCTAATTGAGCTGAATTTCAGGAAAACGGGAGTTTGGAACAGTTTAGGGTTAATAGAGCATGAAGACATGGTGATATTGCTACAAAGGAGCACTTTGGCCTAGGAGAATAGGGGCACAACCACAACTTATTGAGAGGCTCCATGAGGCGGCTGATTTTAGCAGAGTTCGAAGGGGAATAGGACTCTAAAGCTGCAAGAAAGAGTATAAAAGAAAAAGAAAAATAAGAAATTAGGGTTCGACTTCTTGTTACAGGAACCAAGGGAGAAGTGCTGGGAGAAAGATCACAAGGCTGCCGAAGGAGAATTGGAGAGGAGATTGAGAATTCATGTAGAAGTTTTAGGTTTTCTTCTTCTTTAATTCAGCGATTTCGGTAACCTAGGTTCAACTAGGATTTTCTTTTGTTTGAATCTTTCATTCTTTCTACCATGCGAACCATGATTGATGTTATTTCAGATCTGTGATTGATCTTTTACGCTAATCCGATTGATACTTATTCAGTATTGGGATTTCTTGATTAGGGTTTTCAATAGTAAGAGTAAATTCGGCCGATCTGCTCTTGTTTCTTGGATTACTTATATTGCTTGAAAAAGGGTTTAGGTAATCGGACCAACTGATCAAGAAAACGAATTGAATGTATCTTAGAGATAATTTACATGATTCATTTGGCATTCATTCAGCAAGAACTAATATCATTCGATTTTCTTGTCCTTAATGCATCTACAGT